CTGCGATGTCGGCGAAGGCCGATGCCGTCGCGTCGGCGAAAGCCGATGCTGTTGCGGCGGGAAACCTGACACTTGAGGCGCCCCGAGAGGGAAGTCACGAGTGTTCCACAACCGCCGCAGCCGCGCCCTGAATGGAGGCCATCGCTGCAATCTCGAGGGCCACCGAATACGCCCAATAGGCCAGAACGTGGCTTGCTAATCATACAAGATCTTCCAAGGGGTTCGGCGCAATGCGCCAGATGTTCCACCGCCGTCCCAGATCGAAAGAATCGGTGCTGGTGTGGATTCGTCGAGCGACCGTGCGACTGCTGCAGCAGAGGTCGTTGAGATGCGAATCGCTAAATAAGGAATCTGAAGATCAGGGGGGGAAACCACACACATACACAATTAATTCGTCGGTTCCCAGGAAACTATGGAAACATATGGGAAGTGGGGGGGGGGGGGGGGCGACGAAAACCTAGAACATATCGGAAAATATGGGGACTGCTTGGACGTGTTTATTTATTTGCGTGTCCCAATGCCCCTTTAGAAGAGGCAGGGCGCCGCCGCTTCCGAGAGTGGAAGCAGCGCGTCCTCGCGACGCCGAGCTCGGCATCGGGAAGGCGTGGAGTTTTGCGTGGTTTCGTGAGGTCGAAGGTGGCAGCGGGAACCTTGACTTGCCCGACGCAGTGGCCGCGTCGACGCAGTGGCATCGTTCGAAAGGCCTGCCTCAAACGACGGGCCAAAGCCCGCAAGGAAGAAACCAAAGCCCGAAATTGTTCTGTTAGTGGGCGGCAGATGCTTTTCATGATCGTGCATTGGCATCGGCTGGTTGAAGCCGATGGGCGCGTGGCACCCAGACGACCGGGAACGCTGAGCGCGAGTCATTTGCAGAAAGAAAGTGGCTGCGCTATATTCATCATTAAATCGGTTCCTGCAGACGATCTTATTGAAGCCCTGTTTCGGTCGCAAGTAGCGCGCCATGGAGATGCGGGACATGCGCGGGCATGCGTCGTTGGGTGGGGCGGGGTGACTTGCGTGAAGCGTCTCTGTGGCTCTATGCTGTGTGCTAGAAGTCTTCTGAATGCCGCGGATGTTTTTACTTGTGGGAGGGGGGTGGCCAGACGCCGCGGCCGCGGGCGAGGGCAGTCGCGGTGATTGGTATCAGCGAGGAAGCTGCTCGGCCCGTGGCGACGGGTGCCCCCTGGGGGCCCCCCCCCGCCGTGACAGGCGGCGAGAATCCGCGCGCGGCGGGCGCTGCCGACTAAGTTCAGGAGGGGAAAAACACACACAGACACAATTCATCGTCGACTCTCCAGAAAATATGGGAAAAAATGGGAAGTGGGGGGGAAGACGAAAACCCAGCAAATATGGGAAACATGGTGCATCCTGTTATTTGTTCACTGATTTGTGTGTCCCAGGGCCCCTTTCATAAGTGCCCGCTGAGTTCTGTCACGCGCGTGCAAGAGATGGCGCGCGTAGCGGACCTGGCAGTGCAGGGTCACGTGCGACAGCGCGCGCTCTCTGGGAGGGGCACCTGCGCCCGAGGCGACGGGCGCGCCCGCGCGCCCCCGCGCGCCGAGCGGGGCCGGCGTGCAGGGCAGGGCCAACCCGAGGGGTCAGAGCTCCAGTCGGAGCCGCCCCTCTCGGCGGCTTTTGACAGCGGCCCCCCCTGGCCGCGGAGACGGGCGAGGTCGCGCGCCGCCGGCCCAGGGGGGGCCGTGGAGACCGCCCTCGAACGGCCCAAGGCGGGGGGGGGGCACGGCCCTCGGGGCAGGGGCAGCAGTGGGGATGGCCCCAGAAACCGTAATGCCAGTCCAAGGATTGATTGCTTTCGGAGCGGGGGGGGCGCCAGGTCGTTTCCGAGGGGAGGGGGAGGCGCTTCCTCTGAGACGTAGCGGCGACGAGGGTCGACGCGGAGAGGATTATCGCGACGGGGGGCCCGCTGCTCCAAGAGGCCTGCAGGCTCCAGCGGTATTGCGATCATTCTCCTCATGGCGAAGCGGTTACGTCGCATTACTAAGCCAGTAAGGCCCTCGATGAGAGGGCCACTGCACTGTTCTTACAGGGGGGCCTTTATTGCAGAGGTGGGCTGGTCCCATCCTCGAGATGCCGACGTGCAATCTCGCCCCCGTCTCAGGCCCCTTCGCCCCCTCTCTGCAGCGCCAACTCTTATCGAGAGTTGCCGCGCTGGTACCGAAATTACAACTGCTGCCAATAGTTGCATGTGCTGAATGCATGGTGGTGTGGGTCGGTCCCAAGGCGAAAGATCAGGCGAAAGATCCGGGGGTGGGTGGGGATCGTGCACAACCTCTCGTGTAACACCGCACAGACTGCGCTATTTGGATATATGTATACTTCGCGCGCTGTCTCGAAGTTCAGTAGTTACTTAGCTTAGCTCTCGCTGATCTCTGAGTCCATCCTGCGCTGGGAATCTTGGGCTTTGCACCGTGCGTTGTGCTTGCCGCAGTTCTCGATGCCTCCTGATCAGTTCGTGGCGTTGAGGCAACGGTCCAAGCTC